GAGTAATATCTGGGAAAAGTGGCTAAGTTATATCACTTCTGCATTCGGCACTGATACAATCACTTTTCCATTGTTGAACTCTTTTTTCGGTGTCCATAAGCCTGTTGATAAATTGTAAGGGATTGATCAAAGGACTGGATACTTTGCCTTGCGGTGAGACATTCTGGAATCTTGCTCTGTTTATCTTACCCATGAGGAGGCTAAGACTTGACCTGATCAGAGTGTCTGCATTGGGGAAAAAAACATTGAAAAACTGTTAGCAATCTGGCAGACAAAGATATAAAAAGGTCCAGTGGTTGCTATTTGAAGTTCAAAATTCCATTGCAGATTTTCAACAGTGAGAGTGATTAGGCCCTATGATATCTTAACAAAGGTTGTGGTGGTTTCCTTACCACTGACAATTTAAAAATCAAGATTGAATGGTTTCTTAAATGATATGTTCTAGTAAAGCACAAGTTCTGTGGCTTCTTTGTACAGAGGATTGGGCTAATTGTTCATAAAAATCCCCTTTGACCTTAAATCTCTTAATTCTTTTCAAGACAATGACTAGAGTCAATCTAGTCAATTTTTTTCCTTTTTTATAATCTTGTTGTTGAAGTTTTCTGTCCAAAATTCACTTTTGCTTTTACACAGCTTTAAGAAAAATAGATATTTTTCTTGGCCAGCTGCTGTTCATGGCCCAACAGATGGTTTTTAACTATAATGACCTTGCAGTCTTACAGTGTTAGTACATTGGTATACTATCTAACACTGACGTATCTGTAAGGCTGTATTCGTTGTTCCATTCTTTGGTACCCTGAAGATATATGTCAAGCATGAACGTATTTTAGCTGGTTTTGTTAAGGGTTTTATTCCATATGTATGGGATATCTTTATAGCATTAGTTGAATTCAGTATTATGAAATCTGCTCTGTGGTGGCTTGACCCTGACTGGATGCCAGGTGCCCACCAAAGCCACTCTATCACTCCCCCGCCTAAGCTGGGTAGGGGACAGAAAATATAATGAAAGGCTTTGTGGGATGAGATGCGGTCAGGGAGATCACTCAGCAATTACCGTCACAGGCAAAACAGACTCAACTTGGGGGACATTAATTTGTTACCAATCCAATCAGAGAAAGGTAATGAGAAATAAAACTGAATCTTAAAAACACCTTCCCCACTCCGCTACCTTTTTCCTGGGCTCAGCTTTACTCCCGATTTTCTCCACCTGGGGTTGTGGTCAGTCCATCACATGTTGTCTCTGTCCCTCCTTCCTCCTCAGAGGGAGGACTCCTCACATTCTGCCCCTGGTCCAGCATGGGCTCCCTCCCACAGAAGGCAGTCCTCCACAAACATCTCCAACATGGGTCCTTCCCTCAGGTTGCAGTTTGTCATGAACTGCTCCAGCGTGGGTCCTTTCCACAGTGTGCAGTCCTTCAGGAACAGACTGCTCCAGTGTGGGTCTCCCATGGGGTCACAAGTCCTGCCAGCAAACCTGCTCCAGTTTGGGCTCCTCTCTCCACTGGTCCACAGGTCCTGCCAGGAGCCTGCTCCAGTGTGGGCTTTCCACAGGGTCATAGCCTGTTTCAGGGCATCCATCTGCTCTGGTGTGGGGTCCTCCATGGGCTGCAGGTGGATATCTGCTGGACCTCCATGGGCTGCGGGGAACAGCCTGCCTCACCATGGTCTTCACCACAGGCTGCAGAGAAACCTCTGCTCTGATGCCTGGAGCACCTCCTTCCTCTGCTTCTTTGCTGAGCTTAGTGTCTGCAGAGCTATTTCTCTCACATTGTCTAACTCCTCTCTCTGGCTGCCGTCATGCAGTTTCTTTTTTTGCCCCCTTCTTAAATATGGTATCCCAGAGGCATTGCCACCATCACTGATGGGCTCAGCCTTGACCAGCAGCGGGTCTGTCTTTGAGCCATCTGGCATTGGCTCCACTGGACATAGGGGAAGCGTCTAGCAACTTCTCACAGAAGCCACCCCTGTAGCCTTCCCCTGACACCAAAAACTTGCCATGCAAACCCAATACAACTCTTTCAGCAGTAAGTGCAGCTTGTAGTGGTCTTTTAGTTGTTTCCCTCTTCTGAGCCCTGTCTGCTTCCCCTGACACCAAAAACTTGCCATGCAAACCCAATACAACTCTTTCAGCAGTAAGTGCAGCTTGTAGTGGTCTTTTAGTTGTTTCCCTCTTCTGAGCCCTGTCTGCATACCTCATGTTTGCAGGGTTAATTATCTTTGAGAAATTCCTCCTAGACCTGAACTAAAATCCAATGACCAGCATTTATGCGTTTGCAATCCCACTTAGGGCAAGAGTGCCGTTAAGCTGGCCACTGTACCAGTAAGCCCAGTTTCTGACTTCAGAGAGTTCGAAAAACAAAAGACTGACAAATAGTGACACAATGACAAGGCAGCGAGTGATATTAGGAACACAATGATAATCTTAGCCTGGCCCTCTAAAGAAATTATATTTAGGTAATGACTTTTTCTACTGCTTATTTTTCTTCCAGACCCTCCTCTTTCTCCCTTTGGTTTTCGATTGATTTGTCCAGTTCAGCCTGGATTTTACAGAAGTGTAAAAATACCAGGTTCTTGTGATGAGCTGAAGCACCATGTTCAAAAGAGGTTTGTGACACCTAACAAGTGGGTATACAAGAAAGACACAAATTAGTAGCAGTTGTTGTGGTATGGGCTGCAAGACAGTAAGATCATAGGAAATCAAATGCTCTTAGTTCTCTTGCTTGCAGAACAACTTGTATTCTTGTGGGGAACAGGCTAGACTAATTTTGTACTGTTGATTCTCTTGTGATTTCAAATAGTCATAACAATTCACTTAAAACCACTTCAGCAGTATGGCTTAAATATATTTGATCCAGACAAGAGTTAAAGTAATTAGCTGACATTTGATTTTACTTGATATGGATCCAAACCATGAAACTATGAGCACCCTTAGAGTTCAGAAGTGTTTCATTCAGTGTTTGGGTACTAGTCTGTGTGCTCAAGTAACTTTTTCAAACTTGGCAAATTTAATCCCAGATTTAAAACAAAAAAGCAACGTAGGGAATAAAGTCTGTAAATGCTTATTCTTTAAATATAGAGATGCTCCAAAGTATAGTTGTAGAAGCAACAAGCAGAAGGAATAGAAAGTGGGTTATCTGTGTAAAGGTGTGTGTTTGTATTTATGTGCGGTGTTCACACCCGCGTACCTACTTATGTGGCTGTACAAAACATTACTCCCGCTGCAAGGACCTTACAATCTGAACAGACAGCCAGGGCAATCATGCGCTTGGAGACCCAGAGGATGGTGCTAACTTAGAGCATGTGTTCATTTTCAGTTTTATGATGTGACGACAGCAGTGCTCTGACACTGGTTAACATCTGTGGGCCTTGTGGAAGGAGCGCATTTCCATGAGGGACTTGGCTGAAGGAAACCTGCTTGCCTGGCGCACAGAGCTGAGAAGGGTGTTCCCACCAGCGTTCAAAATAGAGATGAGTGGCGTGATGTTTTGCATTGCGTGTGGTGCAGCTGGTAACTAGGAATGTGATTGACGATGTTTTGTAAGCTTGTTATTTTTTCTTGCAGTCTAATACAGAAGGAAAAAGAAGAGGTTATGAAGAAATTCAAAAGGAAGTGTATAGATGTTTCTGCTGAATTCAGAGGCATTCACTTCCTCCTTCAAAGAACAATTAGATGAGAATTGTAAAAGCTTTATGTGATAAGAATACATTGCATTTGCTGTGTTAAGAAACTAATATGGAAAGGGAAGATTCTGGGGCAGGAGGGATTTTGTAGGATTTAATTATAGCCTGTGTCCGTAGGGGCAAAGAGAGAAAATTAGGTTGGTATCTTCAAGAGGGCATGCCTATGTGACACCCAAACCAGTTCTACAGTATTTGATTTGTTAAAGTGTACGTTCAGTGTCCAAGTAATTTAATAGTAGAGCATATAATGATTTTCCCTGCTTTGGGAGAAGTTGAACTGACAGAAAGGTCACAGAAGTCAGTATGCTTCCCATGAAGCTTGGAAAAGAGTATAAGCAACAACAAAACTGAAGAACACTGACTGTGATATACACTTCACAATAGCTTACTGTATGCAAAATACCTGAAATTATTCAGTTTGATGCTTACGCAGCACAATGGGAAGTTCTCAGATTCTTTCATAAAGTTTACTTGCTGTATTGCAGCATACAAATCATGTTATCTCCCCTTACCATTGTATAATTCTTCAGCAATTTTTTTTTTTTTTTGCCTAATGTGGTAAAGAAAGCAAAGAAAAATATCTGATGCATTTTTAGGTTTTTATTATAGCTTAGTAACTAGGAGAGCAAGAGGGGAAGTCATCACTATGTGACCATTGACTATGTGACCATCTTGAACTGTTATCCAAATTCAATATATGAGTCTAATAATCGTTAATTTAAGTAACAATACATGTGTCATATTTATAATACCTCACATCTGAGGATTTCGGAACAGTTTACAAGTTTTGACGAACTGAATCTCTTAGCATTTCTATAAGAGGGAAAAAATACAGCCGTAGATATTACAAATCATTATTTAATGTTCCTCAGGAGATAAAGAAGAAGGAGAGTCTAGATGTCGTGGTTTGGGGAACCTACACACAAGTTAAAATTTTGGGATAAATATATACAACTTACAAAATTACTATACTATTGAACTCTTTCATACATCTTGTGTTGTCCTTAAGCTATGAAAGATGTGCCGTCCATCTCCTAAACAAAGGATATCACAGAGTAATGGAAGATCAGTTTATGCTGTTAGCTCCTTTTCATGTGAGAGTATGTTAGGACAGAGGTATGGCTGAAGCCCAGAAAAGTCAGCATGATTTAATATGTCTGCAGAGCAAAGGGTTCAATAAAGACATCTTACCAGAAATAGAAAAAAGAGATACTTGAGGAGAGTAACATGTGGATTGTCACAGATAAAGGAAAGTTGGACAGTAGAGTCAAACTGAGACACATTTTTTAGCCAAGAAGTCTGAATTTTAATGGGGGTCAATGAGGGAAGGTGGACATGAGACCTATATGGACACTACAAATGTATCTGCTCCAGAGTGCAATCCCAGCTCCCCAAACCAGACTATTGAGAATAGTAACCTTTAGCTATACCCATGCTGTTCAGCAATTGGACTGGCAGTAAGTCATGATCATATATATCCTTTCTCTTCAAAGTTTCTGAAATAGTGCAAGAATTGTACAGCATGCTTGGATTGTGGTTTTTTATGACAACTGCTACATGTTGGGTGGTGTGAGTGTAAGGGATACCCCTAATGAAAGGGGTAGCCATGTGGAAGGGGTGAGTCCTGCTCTAGAGCACTAGAAAAGGGTACGAGGACTGTGTGGCAGAATGGTGCAGTCTTGCTCATGTTGCCTACCTGGAGGATTCCTTGGAGCAGACTCTCCACAGGGGCATATATGGGTTATGTGTTGGAAGGAGTTAGTTCACTCCAGAGGAGAGCATAGGGCTGGAGTGACAGCTACACAGGGTGGACAGTCAAGGATGAAGCCTGGAGTGAACTGGGTTGTTAGATCTCAGTATTGCGTAGCTGCTCAAGGGAGATATAGGGAAAAAGTAAATACTTGATCTGGGGAAGAAACAGCATGCTATATAAGAGATCTCGACTTCAGCTGTTTCAAACTCCAAAACCCTATTTGAGTGGTGAATAAATTCAGGCATCTTGCATCTTTACTTTCACTTTGTTCCTTTTAATTCTTTTGTTAAAGTATAGGCTTCTCTGAGGAATCTTGAAGAAGGTGGAGGTACAGATTTACTGAGAGTGAGATGCAAGGAGACTAAAAGGGGATTCAGAAGTCTACAGGATTGCCCACCATGTGTTAAGCAACAATTGCTTTGGAGTCCATGGTCACATATTATTTGATGTGGTTAGGGTGACAGGCAATCCCTGCCAACAGTGAGATGAGGAATGCATCCAGGCCTAGCTCATCATCTGTTTGTTTATCTTCTTGTATGTCTTTGAAGATGTGGATTGTGAATGAGAATAGTTGCAAGATGAACTGTAGGAACAGTTACATCTGAGGTCTTATGGGCAACAGGAGATGGGAACCGATTTAGGAGTATAAAGCTGTTTGTCTGGTAGGGTGTGTCATTACAAAGGGGTCAACAGAAAGCCAAAGAGTTGTACATATATCGTAGAGGCTAAGGATGCTATTCCCATCAAGAGCATCTTACCAGGTGAGCCTGGTGCCAGAGGACTCCAACAGTGCAAAAATGTCCCACTAACTGAGCTGTTTCATCAGATTGCTTGGCTTCTCATCCTGCCTGACACCCACTAAGATTATTTTGTACAAGATTGGAGTTGAATGCTGTTGTGCTGAACTTGGGTGAGGCATGTGTGGAAGACAGGAGCAGAGGGGGAGTGGGAATATGGTGTGCAGATGTGTGAAGGTGAGAGTAAATCTTATCAACTACTGGTTCCAGGGGGTGGTAGGCTTTTCCTTTTTTCTTTTCCCAGCTCTGCTGGTGTAGTCATCCATTGAACAACTTCAATTACCCATTCGTAGAATATATAAGTACCACAGTACCATGTTAGGGTGTGAATACTTTTAAATATTTAAAATTATAATGATTAAACATAGTCCTTGCCCTTTTGGCCAGTTGGCCTCAGTGGCCTCTATTAAAAAGCTCTTGAGACCCCAAAGACACTTTCCTTGTGTTGCATAATATTTTTCTTTTGTTTCCAGTAAACCAGCTTCGAACTGGCAAATTTCTGTGAAGTCCTGTAGCCAATTTAATATTTAAAACAGACCTCTTAAGTTACGCTGGTTTCAGGAACGTCTTGAGCCATCTTCCCTCTGCTAACCTGCTGTGCTGACTCAGCGCCTGAGAAGGAGTTGAAAGCCCATGGGGACAGGGGAGTGTTCTGCGACTGCAGAAAGGCAGCATCATAAAGCTCATAAGGGCAAAGAGTGCTGCAGCTAAGGTTTGTGTTGCAGTATCAGTCAAGTAATTTAAAAAAACAAAGAAAAAAGAAAGAAGAAAAAAGAAAATAGAAAATAGAATTGATTGAAGGCACAGCAGCTGGTGACCTAAAATGGTAATCTGCACTAAATGCCCTCCTTTGGTAAAGTCTGTGCATGTTGTTTTCAACCCATTTTAGGTAGAAACTTGTAGGAAAAGACCCTTAGAAGTTAAAACTGCTACTCTTTTTTGAAATAAATATCTTGACATTCACATTAGAAAGACCAAGAAGAAACTGCAAGATGGCTGTTCTAGTACCCGGAGAGCTACAGGGCAGCATGCTTTGCTAGTGCTGTACCTGCATCATTACTCTTAATATTGATCTCTTCACAAGCCTGAAGTGGCGCTGGTGTGGTTGCTGGGTTTCCATGGATATGTCATTCTGGTGCATATATCAGGGTGCTGATGTTCTTACAGTTTGCTGCTGTTGTGTGCTTATGTGCTCAGCTTCAAATAAGAATTCAGCCCCTGGGTTTTACTTATGTTATACTGGTGCACTTTGTATAGCTTGGTCTCTGCTTGCCTGGACCTTTATTTTAAATGTGTGCAAATTCATTAAATTGCCCTATATAGAATTAGAAATACAGAGATTGCTTTTCTTTTTATTCACTTGCCAGTGCAGATGTATGAGTGTGACTGCATTTTCAGAACCTTCCTTTCAAAACTACTTGTAATCATGCAGTAGATAAATAACACTTTAGAGGGAAGAGGACCTCCAGCCAAAATAATTTCCCAATTATCTTAAAGTGTAATTTATCTTCTTATTTTGCAGCTAGCTATGGACCAAATCCAATTTGCAAAGGCTGTTTATCTTGTTCAAAGGATAATGGGTGCATCAGATGCCAACACAAGTTATTCTTCTTCCTACGAAGAGAAGGGATGAGACAATATGGTGAATGCTTGCCTTCCTGGCCATAGGGGTACTTATGAACAGATGTTCAAGTGAGTTTTTTTCAGCCCTTACATTCAGTTTTGCAGCAAGGCCATAATTCATGCTCAGTTTTTGAGATGATATGTTGTGGAACATGGTGATATTTTCACAGATGTCTCAAGATCATCTTAAAACTTCTTTGCTAAAGAACATCTGAGCTTATTCCAAGATAAGTAACATTCAGCAGATTGAATAGTCGATGTGTGAGCCTAGTTTTTACTCTTGTTGTTATTGTTATTGTTATTATTGCTTTAGTTAGAAGGGAAATTTAGGAAAGAATGATGATTTAAGCAGATGTTCTTGGTTTTAACAAACAAATTCCCACTATATGAAAATAAAAAGGATTAAGCATTAATTTAACAGTGCCTGATGTAGGTACTAGTCAGTATATGCACTGATATATGGGTGGCCTTCTTGTCGTGCTTTTTGTTCTCACACAAATTTCAGGTGACCAGACACCTCACACCAGACATGCTTTAATATGTAAGTGTTGCTTTTTTAATAAAACAGATGTACTATTAAAGACAAACAAACAACCTTTCACTTTTAGTACTGCATTTTATTTGGAAATTTACAACCTGCTAATGTGCAACAAGATTCCCTGTTTGCATGTTTGTGCCTAGAAGCACAACTGTTAAAGTCAATGAGTGCTCTGGTATCTCCACACATTATTCCACCGCTGTCTGGAAGTTGTGCCGATTTGTATCGATTTTTCCATATGCTCATATGTGGAGTATTACCCATATGGATTATTAATCATTACTATTACCTCTAATTTGTATTTATGGGGGGGTTTGTGTGTGTGTCATAGTCTAACCAGAATTAGGTCACCAAACCTAAGAACTAAGAAAGTGAGAAACAGCTTTTCTTGGCTTCCTGGAATAATCAAGTGTCTGTTAAATGCACGGTGCTCTCCCGCTCAGTACTGTGGCATATCACCGGGACATGCAGCGTTGTGAGAAAGCGGGTGCTGGCTTTCACATCACACATAATCTTGAGACCCACGTGAGGTCACTCACGGGCTGGTGAGGAGCACTCATGGCCGTGCTGGGACCTGTCCCTGCCGGTGTAGTGACGTCCCACCTCCTTCTCCCCATTCCCGGCACGAGCTCTGTGGATACAGTATTCTTCACGTTGTGTTCCCAACTGCTGTGTAATATTACTAAGTGCTGCCTAAGCTATACCAGGTGGCTAGATTTTGATGAAAAATTAAATTAGACCAGTATATGGTTTATGTATCCCTTCTGTAAAGTAATTTAGGGTCTTGGCCTGATTTTTCATAACATTTGTGAGTTCGGCAACTCGTTTACTTTAAACTTTTCAAAACTGGGCTGTAAAAACTTGCCTGTGTAAACATGTTTTTGAATAGTTACAGCTCCGGGAAACATATTAATTTTTCTAGATTAGCCTGTACTTTGCTTGTGAGATACAAAAAGGAGTCCACACTGACAATATTTCTTTACGTTCCTAAAAAGAAAAAAATCTTTATTTTCAGAAGGTGGATGATCAATTCAATACCTTTTTTGTTTCGTTTTTACTACTTACAGAAAGTGGTCTTTTCCCTGAATTACAGGACGGGTTTTGAAAAGCATAAAAGCAATTTGTGTCCAACCCATGTTGGCGTGTGTAGAGCGCTGGATATTTAACTCGCCCTCATGCCTCTGACAGACTCCCCCTGTTAGAATAATGATGCAGTTGCATTTACCAACCAGTCCTGGTTCCCCTCCAATGATTTCTGCATTGTATATTTTTACTTTAGTGTAACTGCCAAGTGGTGTATTTATAAATCACATCTTCACTTTTTTCTTGGTTTGGTAATCTTGAATGGCCCATAAGTTGCACTGTGGACAGACAGACATTTTGTGGGTTGAAGCTGAGTTAAAATAAACATTCCTATAAAATAGAAAGGGTTTTTTCCTAGTTGATGTTAGATACTTTTAGGTATGCTTGGTTACAGACAGCATCGGTCAGATAGTATTATCTCAACAAAAATAATAAAAATTCTGGCTGTGTTAAAATCCTGGGAGTTACAGGGCTTGAATTACATAAATTGAAATTGTTTCTGCCCTATTAATGTCCTTATAGGCACAAAAGCTGTTTAACATTTTATTACTGGAACACTCGCCCATTTCTGTTAAAGAAGCTATAGAACATATTTTTATGGAAAATGTTGACATGATTTTAAAAGCCAAACATAGTTAGTGCCAAATGTAACACAATAAATACAACAGCCAAGTGCAGCAGCTCTAAAATGATGGAAATTTTGAATTTCAAGACAAATTGTTCTACATGTAAGCAGTATGTGTGTCTTGAACTTGCTAAGTGGTTCTAGACTGTTTTTCTGGTAACAATGAATCATGTAGTTTTGAGACTGCTTGTCTCTAGAAGTCGATGTAGTTTCCTGCTGGAGATGATTTTCACCTTGAACACTGCAGTGTGAGAATGCAGTATATTTGGAAACAAAATTAGAAAGTGTTGAGTCTTTTCTGTAGAAGAATGCCCAAGAGAAGACCTACACTTTGTTAATTTTCCAAGAAATTTTAATAATTAATGACTTTGAATCAAACTGCTCCAACAAGAAATAATGTCATGAGAAAAAAATAAAACTGAATTAAAGAGTAAAATGAAATCGGTCGCCAGGGTAGTTGGTTTAACATTGGTCTGGTTAACGGATCAAGCCTATCTTGAACCTTTCAACTTATTATGTGTCCATAGCAACTGCTACGATTTTAGGGGGAGGAAGCACTCAGAATTGAGAAATTACAACTCTCTTCAGTTTTGATTGGCTACTCCATTTGTCTAAGTTCACCTTCTTTCTCACTGGAGGGCCTGATATTGCTAAAATTGTGATTTCCCCTTCCGTGCACCTTCAGTAAAAACAAGATAAAGAGAAGCTTTTAAACATATTGAGCATTTATTAAACACCTGTAGTTAATTCACTGTATTAAGAAAGGTAAAGATTTTTTTTAACTTTGTTAAAAAATAGCAAGACATCATTAATATTTTATGGCTTCGACTATTTCTTATGTAGTATAGCAGAGCATATGACCTTCTGAGACTATTGTAGTCAGTGCAATTCTAACAGTCTGCCAGGGGATTCAATTACACAAGGGGCAGCGTTATTTGCTTTGAATAAAATAATTTTTCTGACTTTTTAGAAATACCTTTTCATTACTTTTGTGTTTGTTTCCTTCAAATATGGCTTTATCTTTTAAAAATAAACTTAATATAGCATTTGGGATTTTGAAAATGATGCTAGATGGCCAGAAACTGAGGTTTACCTATCATTATTTTACAGGTATTTATTTTTTTTCCTTACCTCTTCCACTCTCTTTTCCTTCCTCAAATGGATTTTTTTTTTTTAATTTTTTTTTATTTTTCGCGTTACTTTGCGTTTTGATGGAAGAATTTTGTTTCATCCATCTGGCAACAAAAATCATCATAGTGCTTTGAATTAAGATTTATTAAATCTGTAGTCAATTTAGATTTAACAAGGCAATTGTGTATTTGTAAATTACTAATTGAGAGCTATGTGGTTTGGCATTTATTTAAAAGATCTCAACTAATAATGAATCAAGATTAGAACATACTGGAAATGTATCGTTAAGTGTTTATTGCATAAATTTATTGAAAAAATATCCTCGCTATTGTATTTTATAATTAACATGTTGTATTCCAAGCATGGATCTCCATGAAATGGTAGACCTGTGGTAAACTTCGGGAACTGTTACGGTCAAGTGGCTGTGTGTATCATTCTCTAGCACTCACGTTCAGCCCCTGCTGAAGCTGTAGCTTAAAAATCTTTGTGTAATAACAACAATAATAATAATAATAACAATCAACAACAACAACCTGCAACTACCTATGTCACATCTGCTTAAGACGTTCAATAGTTAGCGATTCCCTTGTAAGCTAAAGCCCTTTTGCTTATGATTTTCCTTCTTTCCTTACTGTCTCCTCAAAGTCTTTCCTGAACATTTTGGTCTCTCTTTTCTTTCCATTGGTTGTCCAACTGATACTCCATCCCCTACAAGAACTGCTCACATGATAGCTGTCTTCAGCTCCTTGCCTCTGTCTCCTGCTCTTGTTAGCACTAACAGTCTTTGTCCCTCATGCACCCTTGTGCCCTCAAGGTGAGTTATGAAATGTGTAGTCTATCTCGGTTTTTGAAGTCTCTCCCAGCTCAGGGAATGCAGGAGAGGATTAGCACAGAAGGTGGTGTGGGTCAATGGCAGACTGGTGTGAAAGCAGACATGTCAGGATGGCTGTGTGAAGTTTAGTCTGTAGCACCAACGCTGTTTTACTGAACAGCAGAGGAATGGGAGCAGGAGCTGGAAGGAGTGAGTGATGGGTGTGAGGACAGTCTGGGGACAGGTGAAGTTAGGACGTTGTGGGTGCAAGAGGCAGAGAGATCTAAAGCAAGAAGAGTAGGGAGCTGTGAGTCAGAGCTCAATGTGAAAGAGCAAAGTAGGTGCTTTGGACCCAGCAACAGTTTGTGATACCACAGGATTACCAACCTCACAAGTTACGGGCCCAGAGGCTCCTCTGGAGTGATGCCTTAATGGAAAGACTGATTTTGACCTTTGAAAGGCAAATCCTGACTGTAGAGGATCTGTTTGTCTTCTTAAATACAAGAGGACACCTCAAGCAAGAACCCGATTTCAGTGCAAAGACTACCAAGCCCCTCAAATTAGGAATGCCACGTTTCCTTCCTCAGCTTCAGTCTGCAGTTTTTCTTTGCAAACTATAATCACTATCTCTCTGTCTTGAAGGTGTTCATTACAGTTAGTGTTCCTATGCTGCCGGTTGCTGATTTCCACTCATGCAGAGCTTCTCGTGTTCTCGCTTCCCTTTCCCGTAGTCAGCTGCTCTTCACTGGTGTCTGCGTTTCAAATGGAGCAAACTTGCTGTGAATCGTCATCATTGGTAACACTACTAAGAATTGACCAGCTGTCTTTTCTATTAGGTGTACTACAAAATGTCTTTGTTATGACGGGAGTCATGGATGAAT